TGTTTGCTTGATGGGCTAATTGTGGATTTTAACAAAGTTGTGTCTTTGCTGATTAATTTTTTTCTTTCAGATACCTCGCATATTGGCACTTTTGTATTCTTTCTCATTCATTAATATTCAGAATTGTCTTTAGGTTTAGGAATGTATGAAACACCCCTCTTCCTAGCTCATGAAGAAGAATCCGGTGGCCGAAGTGTTCCCACTACTCCTCTGCAAGTAGCAGCTCCAGGTAGGTATCATATTACTAGATTGTGTGTTTTATTGGTAAAATGGAAACTTATGAGGCATCTTTGGGCTGAAAATTAGGTAAACCACAAAGTTAAAGTGTTCGTTGCTTTTCTGGTCTTGTTTTGAAGTGAACGTATTTACTGAGAGTAGTACCACCTCTGATGCTTCAGAGCATGCCTCTCAGTCTGTTCCAATGGTGACAACATCGACTGGCACTTTATCCACAACCAATGAAACAGCAGCAGGTGATGATGGAGATGAAGTATTTGTGGAGGCAGAATCTGAAGGGTAAATGTTTACTTTGTAATATTTGCTTGCCTTAGACTTGCCAGACTTTTGCATTTGTTTTCCTTTAGCCAGGAAACAATCTGTTGAGCTGTATTTTCAGTCGCATCTTATTACAAAAGTAAACCGAGCCATCTATTTTGAAAGATTAATTTTTGCATATAATAATATTTTGGGACTTGGAGGTTGTTATTACAGAAGACAAATGTTAGCTCCCTGAACATTGCATAATATATTTATTCTAGAACAAAATATTTCTTTAAAATCACTGGTACCCTTCCATTAATGTAACTGCTTGAACTTTTCCCCAAAAAAAGAAGTCTTTCTGTGAAAGTTAGGAATATTAGGAAATGATTCAACTTTCCATTTAGTAGTGGGCTTTCAAATGAACCTTACTTATCCTTAATGTGCATTTAGAACTTCTTATAAATTAGAATTTATCTAGTAGTTTTCAAGACCTGACTGTATTGGTAACACATCCGTTATAAACAAAGTTGTCTTGGAGAAGTTTAACTTTCAAGATGGAATCTAATTTATTTTTAAATATATTTTTATTGATTTCAGAAAGGAAGGGAGGAGAGAGAGAGAAACATCAATGATGAGAGAGTATCATTGATCGGCTGCCTCCTGCTCACACCCCACTGGGGATTGGGAATTGAACCCTGACCTCTTGGTTCATAGGCTCAACCCCTGAGCCACACCAGCCAGTCGGAAACCTAATTTTTATAAATAAAATAAAAAGTTGGGCTACTTCATGGGTAGAAGCAGAGCTAGAAGTAGAACCCAGATTTCCTATGTAGAGCTCAAAGATTTTGTTTTAATATATTTTATTGATTTTTTACAGAGAGGAAGGGAGAGAGATAGAGTTAGAAACATCGATGAGAGAGAAACATCGATCAGCTGCCTCCTGCACATCTCCTGGGGATGTGCCCGCAACCCAGGTACATGCCCTTGACCGGAATTGAACCTGGGACCTTTCAGTCCGCAGGCTGACGCTCTATCCACTGAGCCAAACTGGTTTCGGCAAAGATTTTGTTTTATTTAGCAATATTTTCTTGGCATAATCATTGGCCAGTTCTATATAAGGAAACAAGCAGGTCTACTTATTATGCTCTATCAGGGCTACTTAATTTGGGGGAGGTTATAGACCCTACTGAGAACACTAGCTGCCGTTAATTCCATGCCATGTATGCAGGTCATTTCATACAAGTCATTTCTAACCCATACAATACCTTTGCAAAGTGTCATCATTTTACAAGTGAGAAAGCTCAGAGTCAGAGCATGTATCTCTGGTGACTGACTCAGCCCCAGGTGCTTTAGCTTCACACCTGACCAGCACTGTTCAGCGTAGGCACACAGTCATGAGAGAGAACTTCCAGGTACATTGTTAACTAATAACTGTACTAAGATTGAAGTTGTTTTGTACTTCTGTCTCCTCGCTTGCTTTTTGATGTGCTTTCTGGAATGGGAGAGAGAAATGGACTTACAGCCATTGAGCCAGGGATTTCTACCCATAGCCTGTCTCATCTGCGCTGGAGCCCCTTTTGAGTTTGTGATCTGTTAATAGTTGTGACTTGTGAATTATTTTACTACTATACTCTCCTAGAAAGTTGTTTTGAGGTTTATCAAAATCTGGATAATCTATCTCCTGCAAATGTTAAGAATGTAAACATCCCTTGTCAAAAAGAAAAAAATTTATAAAAATGAGAAGAAAAAAACAACTAAATTTGGAATGTGAAAAGAGGCATGAGGAAGAAGCAACTTGTCCCCTGCCCCTTTAAAAATATATATGGCTACCAGTATCAGGGTTGGCAGTTTTGATTTGGAGTAGAACTCTGCATTAAGTGATAAACTATATGGAAAAGAGTTTGGAAACAATAGGATACACTCTAGGATCAGTTTTATATTTTCTAATCAATTTTTGTTTTCCTTTCTTAGTATTAGTTCAGAAGCAGGCCTAGAAATTGATAGCCAGCAGGAAGAAGAGCCTGTGCAGGCATCTGATGAGTCAGATCTTCCTTCCACCAGCCAGGACCCTCCTTCCAGCTCTTCTGTAGGTAAGTTCCAGCTGTTGACTACATGTAACTTTACACATCACACTTGTTTGCAAAAGACACTTTTATTGCTAACAATTTTATCATTTTTTCCCCCTGAATTGTAAAAAGCTTTATTTAAGAGGGAAATTTTATTTTCTTACAGGGAACTTGGTTTATATTAAAGAAAATTGGTTGTATTAGTGGTGCTAAAGGGGATGTAGGGGGCATGATTACTAAGGAGTAGTACTTTAGGCCTCTCTCTTGCCTAAACCAGAGCAGCTCCATTTTTGTTTGTTCTACATATTGGAGTTCTACAGCGGTCTGATACACAGTAAGTGCTCAGCAACTCTCTGTATCAGACAATATGCAAAGTCCTTTATGTATATTGATTCATTTAATTCTCACATCAGTCCAATGTGGTAAGCATTCATCCCCAATTTATAGTTATGGAAACTTAAATAACTTCTCCAAAGTCACATAACTAGTAAAGAATAGGCAAGCCCTGAGCAAGCTCACAAGTTTGCCTCCAGAGACTCCAATCTTAAACAATATACTATCCCAACATGCCTATCAATTTTTAGGTAGGGAATTACTTTTATTAAAAAAATATAGTCCTCAGTCATTCTCCAACTGCCAGGTTTTATGGAAGACATCCTCAGTTACCACGTTCTCAGTCATGGAACACTGCCATCTCAGGGTCTCTTCTCCCTCAGCTGCTTCTCTGGCACATCAGCCTAGAGCCAACATCCCTAGTTTCCAATCTCACATCCACCTTTTAGCAGCTGGTAACTTTAAATCACTGCACATTTCATTGTGAAATATGGACATTCATAAGTAATCTTGCAGCTGAGATTAGAAATGTCTACAACTATCATTATTAATAATACAATTAGTGAAGTTTGGTGCCCCCAGTTATACTCTAACATCTCATGAAAATTGTTATTTCTCAGCAAAATTGGAACTAGTTATATCTTACTAGAGCTTGCATGGAAATATATGGTTCTTGTTCCCTTTTCAGTATAATATAAAATTAGGATCTCTTTAAATTTATTTGAAAATATAAAACACTAAACTTTCCCACCTGAGCAGTTATTCATTTGGTTAACAAATATCTGAGTGTCTACCATGTGTTGTCAGGCAATTTCACAGAAAGCACTATTAAGTGACATTTAAGTGAACACCTAAAAGAGGTTCGGGAATGAAGCTGTGCAGTCATTTGGGGGAAGAGCATTCTAGGGCAAGAGAAACAACAAGTGCAAAGTCCATGAGGCAAGAGTGTGATGTGTTCAAGCTCAGCAAGGAGGCCAGTGTGGATAGACTACAGTAAGGATGGAGAGATTAGCAGGTGACAGGATACATCTAGTGGGTCATTGTAATTGCATTGACTTTCATGGATAAAGGGAGTTTTGAGAGGGCTTCAAACAGTGACATGATCTGACTTAAAGACTTGACAGTGTCGTAATGAACAGAAACAAGGAGAAAATTTGGAGGACATTCCAGGTAAAGATGATGTTTTAGACAGGATTATAGAGTTAAGGTTGTGGGAAGAGGTCATATTGGGATATAAAGGAATTTTCTTTTTGCCCTTTTAAAAAAACTTTCAAATATTGCAAACAATGGACTCCTGCATTCATTTAGTTTTTTTCCATCTTAATGTTTTTCTTCTTAGATACTAGCAGTAGTCAGCCTAAGCCTTTCAGACGAGTAAGACTTCAGACAACATTGAGACAAGGTGTCCGTGGTCGTCAGTTTAACAGACAGAGAGGTAAATTTCTAACATCCTGACTACATAATAGGATGTGGGGTGATGATAAATGGAAGAATTTTTCTCATGCTTATTTAAGCCGCCAGCTAGTATCTCATTTTTTTTAAATGTTCCAAGGATTAACTATGCCTTGAGTATGATGTTCAGTAATATATATAAAATATAAACATTTTGTAGACAGATGTGTGTAATGAATATGTGCTTCTGTTTCTTCCTTGAATTCAAAGTAAGATTTAGAAAAGTGCTATGTAGTTATTTGGTATATCTTTGCCTATTATACTAGCTAAACAGTCACAGAGCTTTATTCTATTGTACAAAAGGTGTAAAAGTTTAATATCTCCATGTTTTCTAATGAAAGATTGCATTTGTCATAAAAATATTAATCTAATTGTAATGATTATCATTGAAGATGTGAAATGTTTAATTACTAGTTTTTGAAAACAATTTATAATGAACCAGAGTAAATGAATACTCTAGTTTGGGGCTACTAGCTTCTTAAAAGATTCATTCAGTTTGATTTTTTTCTCTTTCTCTTATAGGTGTGAGCCATGCAATGGGAGGGAGAGGAGGAATAAATAGAGGAAATATTAATTAAATGTTCTATAAATTGTAATAACTGTGAATAAGATTGTCCAGTCTGTTTTAGTGTTATGATTGTCGAGTTTAAAGACATTTTTGTATTTAAATTGGTATGCTTATCTCAACATTCTTTATTAATAAAAGGTATTTCAGTGTCAGATTTTATCATTGTTTTACTTGTCTGTTCCTTTGCCCACCGGTCTAAGGACAGTTGTACCAGACATTGGATAAGGTCTTCCCAGAAGGAGTAGTAACGGCTCTTGCTGTTCTGCTGGGCACATTCAAGTTATAGGCTTGATCTAAATAGAAGAGAGGGATCATTTTATTAAACATTTCTGAGAGTACTGCCTTTACAAATTGACCTTTTAATCAGGTTTAACTCTCCTTCAAAGTAAAAATCAAAAACCACTTGGGTTTTACTCTTTTTTTAAATCTGATGTCATCTGTATAGGTAGAATAACACATTTCTGGATTTTTTAAAGAAAAGTGTCTCAGGTAATATAATTTAATAAGATTTGTTTCTCAGGAACTTCTGATCTTACGGACTGTGATGATGCAAATCAGTATAACTTTATGGTAAATGGGGCCTCCACTAAATGCCAAATATTGTTTTCAGGAGCAATTTTACGTAATTTTTTATCATAATAGACTCAATCTCATGAAGGATAGGGCAGCATTCAGTTGCAGTCCTTTCAATTTAATGTGAAAGAAAAACAAAAATTTAAACTTTCTCTTCAGGGCAATTATAGTTTAACTTCTCACCTTCAGCCTCCATTGAACACTTGGTGTTTTGATTATGTTTGTATTTCAGAGATTAGATCACATCTTTGAGAAGCTATTGAGATTTTACTTAACTCACCCCTAGAAAAAGCATAGTAATCGTAGCCATCGGGTTTTCTGGTGTTGGGCAGGGATATAGCTGAGGTAACCAAATTGGGAAGTCCTCTCCACAGTGTACTTATTTGGGCTTCATTGTGGAGGAAACCTATAGATGATATTGGAAAGAGCAGCTGTTAGAGTCAAACATACCACAGTATTAACTCCAATGTGGTCACTCAGTAGTAGCTCTGTTATCTTGGATGTTATTTAACCAGTGCTTAGTTTTTGCCCTCTCAGAATTGGTGCAAATAACTACCTTTTATCACTGTTTTCAGGGTTACAGTTTTGTATATATTGTTCTTGGTAAGAGATAATTAAAATAAGTACCATTTATCAAGTAACATTTAAACTGCATTCCTTACCCACAAAGGAAAAGTATTGATCTTTGATGTTTTGCACCAATAAGCTTAAAATATTAGGGTTGTTTGGTCAGTATTCATATTTAATAAGCCTTACATCTACTTCGTGTGTAAGAATTTTTAACACAGTAAAAAAAAACAAAACACATTACCTTTGTCTTGATAAAGGACTCTGACAGGCCGAGAATATTGAATGCTGATGGTGTGTGTTTGAGATCCAATAGCCCGTTCAAAGCGAAGTCTTCTAACCTGTGTTGTTCCTCCGTACACCGGATAATTCAGAGCAGGTCTTCTTCCAGGGCACTGCCTGTTGGATTCCTGTTTATAAGTATACTTCTGAACTCTGCCCCCTATTAGAAAAAAATAACAAAAATTAATTTAGTCCCCCAAAAAAAGATGGAAAAGAGCTTTTACAAGGTGGAAGAAACAATGTTTTTCATAAAATACGTCTAGACAATAATGGCTATTAGTCAAGGGTATTATGAAAATAATTACTAAATCCTGAAATACTTGAATGATTAAATTCAACAGACTGCACAGCTATGTATTTAACTTTGTGTGAGAGTACATCCATGACATTCATTATATCAATAACCGGAAAACAGGTGAAATTGTTATTTGCATGTTGAAAGATCTAAATGCTTCTTAGTGCCCTCAATTTTTTTTTTTATTGAAAAATATTTGATCCAGCTATTAAAGACATCTTTTCACAGTAAACCCAGTAGTAAATGAAAATATTCAATAAAACTTTTCTGGCAAATCAACTATTAAAAGTTGTGTGATTTTGTCAATTATGTAGCACATACCTCTCTTGAAAAAATACACAGATTCAGGTCTCTCCTTATATTTAGGTATTGAAAGAGCTGCCAGTATTTTTCCATTTAGTCCTCCAAATCCTTTTACAATTTGTTTGGGATACCCAGGATCTTTTACATCATTGGTGAAACGCCAGTACTGAGAACCCTGATCATTTAAAAGAGGAAGTGATGTTAACAGTTTTTTGGGGGGAAAAGGTTAGGAATTCATTCTTAGATTTTTAAGTATAGGAAGAAAGTTTTTTAACTCAGGTGTTTGAATAAGCTGACCATTAATGCCACCAAATTGTGTTAACTTTTGATTAAATTTTGATGGTAGTCATTTATTAAAATATGGAACCCCTCTGAGGTGAAATTTAAGCTGACTTATGTTTTCATAAATAAGAACTATTTGCTGATTTCTCTTACAAAGATATTTTTCTTACCTTAAAGAAGAAAGTTTTTCCGTCACAGTTGCACCTAGTAAAAACAGTATCAATGGGAGAGGGAATACCCCAGACTTCAGTAATTCTACGAGGAGGAGATGGTGGACTGAGTGGATTTAGCATCCAGAAGTAATGACCTAAAATTGAAAGTGATAAATCAGTCTATAAGCTGAATGAATACTAAAACCTATCCCAAAAGAGACCAAAATGAAAACATTTTTAATTATCCTGAAAACTGAATGTGTTAATGACCAGAAGTTTAGTGAGAACTGTACTAGCACAGAACATAGTGTTTGAACATTTCTGAGAGTAAATCTTTCTCAAGTTTGAAGTTTGACATATTTTAGTTTTCTAGAAAGAGCCTTCTGACTTTGTGACTTAACAGAAAATCACTTTTCTCTCAATTTCTTTATCTTTCAGAAATAAGGAGTTATAATTAAAGGACTACTAAAATCTCTTCCTCTACTGAACAGGTCTATGTATGACTTCCCTTCAGATTTAATCTAAGTAAACAAAGACTGGACTAGTGTCAGGACAGAGAATTAACATACAATTGCTGTTCTGGGATTCCTTCACAAAGAGTAATTAACACTGCTGAATACATCACAAGATGTTATAATATTGGCCCTTTCTGGTGTTTGTAAGTGGTTAGAACGCCGGCCCTTGTACCAAAGGGTCTCAGGTTCGATTCCAGGACAAGAGCATGTATGGGAGGCAACCAATTGATGTGTTTCACTCACATCCATGTTCTTTCTCCTTAATACTCTCCCTCCCTTCCACACTCTAAAAATCAATGGGGGTGAAAAATGTTATTTTCAAATACAGTAGAACAGGGAAAACAAATCCTGGTGTCATTTCATCTGATATGAAATTAAAATTTGAACTACCTTTTAATTCCTAACGGTAGGAACAAGTAGCATCATCTCAAGCTCTTTGTTTTGTTACTCTAATATGTCTAATTGTATTAGTCTAATATTTTGGTAATTACTCTCAGGTTTTCATAAATTTCGTGAGGTAAGGTCATTAGTCAGGTTCCCCTTCAGAAAGCTCAACCCCAACTACTAACTCTTATGACTTTGGTTCTCACAAATGCCAAGAACAAAATGATGGGCAGAAAAAAGTTTGTGCAGAGCTCACCTCGAAATGCAACTAATGTCCCATTGGCCAGGGTCGTCAGTCCATCAACTGATCTACCATTGCATAAATTGGTTTCATCTGAAACAAATTAATAAAGTCAATACAAAACAAAATGAAACAGGTTTTATTTCAAGTTCTCCAGTTTCATTTCCTCTCTTCATCATTTCCTAAGCTCTTGAAGGATATTATAATCTCTTTCTCTTTCTCCCCTCTCTGCCAGGTTACCTGATCTTAAAGTAAATTATTTATTGGACGTTTAATCTCAACATTCCATCTTTCGGTTCTTACTGCCCTTTAGATTTGGTTTGTAAAAATAATATTGCAGATTTTTGCTTTGCATTGTACTTTCTTTTAAGGGTGGACTCCCAACTAAATATTTTTGGTATTCTGTACACTGGCTCTGCCTACAGACGCACTAAGTTCCTAACACTAGGCCATTACTCCTTTCTCCAAATATCAAATAATCTTACTGTGATTACTCCTCCGCTTCTAAAGCTGTAAGACTTCACAAGTTAATAAGTTCAGGATTCTAGACAATGTACATGTTAAATCAGGGCATTCCAGTTCTGATAGACTTATGTTAACATTAGAAACTAAAAAACCAGTCTCTTTACCTGAAAGCATGGGGTTGACGCCAATGCCTTGATCGGATCCTCTCACTGTGAAATCAGCTCCTGGGATAATTAGAGGAGTTATCACAGGGGGCCTGAGAATCACATAAGGTTTTTCTCCTTCAGCATCATTTGCATCTTCATTCTTTGGATGTTCTTCAGCCATTTCTGAGTTACTAGCTTGGTTAGAGCTGGTGGTGGTTTGGAGCAAGTCTTCCTCTGAAGAGGCAGGGTTCATTGTAGGCACCGTTGATGTGGTCGTCTTTGGGGGAGATGGTGTAGGCTTTGGTTTTGTCACTTTAGGTGTTGTGTTGGGCTTTTTGGTGGTGGTGGGCATTTGGGGTGCTTTGGTTGGCTTTGGGGATTTAGCAGTTGTCACTTTGGATGTAGTTACTGTGTCTTCAGACGTATTTGTAGTCTCTTCAGTTGTAGTTGTCTTTTTTGTTGCAGCCGTCACTTCAGGTGCAGGAGTTGTTTCCTTAGGAGTAACTTTGGCCGATGTGGTGTCCTTGGTTGTGGTAGATGTCACCTGCTTGGTTGTACTTGTTTGGGACTCAGTGGTCTTGTCTTCTGTTGGAGTCACTTCTGGTGCAGGAGTTGTTTCCTTAGGAGTAACTTTGGCTGATGTGGTGTCCTTGGTTGTGGTAGATGTCACCTGCTTGGTTGTACTTGTTTGGGACTCAGTGGTCTTGTCTTCTGTTGGAGTCACTTCTGGTGCAGGAGTTGTTTCCTTAGGAGTAACTTTGGCTGATGTGGTGTCCTTGGTTGTGGTAGATGTCACCTGCTTGGTTGTACTTGTTTGGGACTCAGTGGTCTTGTCTTCTGTTGGAGTCACTTCTGGTGCAGGAGTTGTTTCCTTAGGAGTAACTTTGGCTGATGTGGTGTCCTTGGTTGTGGTAGATGTCACCTGCTTGGTTGTACTTGTTTGGGATTCAGTGGTCTTGTCTTCTTTTGGAGTTGCTGTCTCTTTTGTTGTACTTGTAGAAGTAGCAGTTGTAATTTCAGTTGTAGTGTGCGTGCCTTTTTCTGTTGTCTTATCCTTCAATGTGGTGGTCGTTTCAGATTTGGTCCCTTCAGGAGCCTTTGGTGTGGGATCTACAGGAAACTCAGGAGTTGATCCAGCAGGGTTCTCAGGAGGAGTGGGAGGCTCCATGGTGGTAGCTGGAGTAGAGGCCTCTGAGGTGGTTGGAGGTGTCTCAGGAGAAGTTGGAGCTGGCTTCTTGGGGGTGGTAGGCTCGGGCTTTTTGGGGGTGGTAGGCTCGGGCTTTTTAGGGGTGGTTGTAGGTTCCTTGGTGGTGGTGGTGGGAGAAGGCGTTTGAGGAGTGGTGGGTGTAAGAGATGTGGTTGTAGTTTCAGCTTCGGTTGTAGTTTTAACAGAAACTGATGTGGCTTCCAAATCTTTAGATGTTTTTTCTGCACTTCGCGTCTCTTTACCTGAAGTCGTCTTCTCTGATGTACTAGCTGAAGTCTCTTTTGTTGTTTTAGAAGTCTCTTTAGTTTCAACCGTTTTCTCTTTACTTGCTGTTGAAGATGTGTCTTTGGATGTTTCAGGTTTCGGTGACGGGCTGGGTTTAGGACTTACTGTTGTCACTGTTGTAACCTTGGAAGTTGTGGTAACTTTAGTGCTTTGAGTGGTGGGCGTGTCAGGAGTTGGGGTGGGCTTGGAATCACCTTCGTCCAATCCACTTCCAGCTTCATCTACCACTGGTGGTTCCGGGGCAGGTTTCTTCTTAGGATTTTCTTTCTTGTTATCTTTTACTAGAGAAAAAAATATACATCCTTTATTCTTGAATAGTTTGTCTTTAGTAATTATGTAAAGCTCCCATTCTTATCACTGACTGTGTGACTCTGGGCAGGTTGCTAACCTCTAATATGTCTATTAATTTATTGTAAAATGTTAAATACTCAACCTGTCTTAGTGGGCTATTTTAGGGAATGAATGAGATAAGGGGTAAAATGCAAAGTAAAACTACAATAGACAGAGACACGTGTCGAATTTGAAATTACCCATACAATCAATAACACTAATTCATCTCTTTACATTAAAGCTCTTTGGCCTTCCCTTTCTCTGCTCCTCCTCTTCCTCATTGCTCAGTTCCCCTTTCTCCAGGAAACCTAGTTCCAACATCTTGTAGATTCACTGCATCCTTAGCTGAGAGGCCTCTACAGCTACATCCAAGGATGCTCCAGTCACCCCCCTGGCCCCTGCTGAGTTATTTCCATACCCAGGGCTGTTAGCTCTTCTCATTCTTCTGCCCAGTCCCATGGGTATAGAAAGGAAATTAGGATGCTATGGCAGCTAAAAGACCCTAGTTAACAGGATTTGCCATAGCAGCTACCCCACAGGTGAACTACAGAGCCCCAGGGGCACATCATGAGATGAGTTCATTCAGCAAACATGTATTGCACTTCCATCGGGTGCAGGAATACTTGTTTGGGACTCAGTGGTCTTGTCTTCTGTTGGAGTCACTTCTGGTGCAGGAGTTGTTTCCTTAGGAGTAACTTTGGCTGATGTGGTGTCCTTGGTTGTGGTAGATGTCACCTGCTTGGTTGTACTTGTTTGGGATTCAGTGGTCTTGTCTTCTTTTGGAGTTGCTGTCTCTTTTGTTGTACTTGTAGAAGTAGCAGTTGTAATTTCAGTTGTAGTGTGCGTGCCTTTTTCTGTTGTCTTATCCTTCAATGTGGTGGTCGTTTCAGATTTGGTCCCTTCAGGAGCCTTTGGTGTGGGATCTACAGGAAACTCAGGAGTTGATCCAGCAGGGTTCTCAGGAGGAGTGGGAGGCTCCATGGTGGTAGCTGGAGTAGAGGCCTCTGAGGTGGTTGGAGGTGTCTCAGGAGAAGTTGGAGCTGGCTTCTTGGGGG